AAAAAAAAAAAAAAAAAAAAAAAAAAGAAGAGAGAGAGAGAGAGAGAGAGAAAGAGAGAGCAAGAGAAGGGTGGGGGCTGAGGAAAGAAGCAGAGAGAGAGATTCCTTTAGAGATGGAAAGGTCAAAAAATAATTAAGAGAAATTGGGAAGAAGGTAAAAAGAGAGAAATAAGACAGAGAGAGAGAAACAGAGCAGCAGTGAAAAATTATAGAGGCACAGAAGGACAGAGAAAAGGAAAGAAATGGAGAGGTAGAGTCAGAGAGAAAGCTAAGGAGAGGGAGGGAAGAGGAAAGAGAAATTATGAGGATCACAGCCAGAGAGAGGAGAGCAGGAGGTAGTGATGACAGAGGAGCTAAAAGATGACAGAGTGACAGAGATTTATGGAGATAGGGAGGGAGGAGGGGACTCTCCCACAGATCCCCGCCCCCACTCCTCACTCTCCATTGGCACCCTCCGCGTACCTGGTACCGTCTGGGGTGGGGACTTGGACTAGACTAGGCTGTCTTTCTGTCCAGCCTGTCCTGTCCTGCTGGACTGGGCCCCTCCATCCTCCTCCCTCTGAGGCCCCTGAGGGCCATGGAAGGAGGCAGGGTGGGAACGGAGCCTGTCCTGTAAGCTGACTGGCGTGGCTACTTGGGTGGGGTGTGAACAGAACACCCAGTGACACCCTTCCTGGAGGCCTGAGCAAGCTCCGGCCTGCCTTTGAGGCCCAGATGGGAAGAGACCTCAGAGACCAACTCCACTGTCCCTCTCACAGTGTAGATGGGCAAACAGGCCCCAACAGAGGCAGGGATGAGGCCAAAGCTACACAGCCAGGCGGTGGCCTAGTCCCTTTCCCAGAGTCTGTATCCAGACAGCTGAGAAATGTCACAGGTGCTGCGGCCCCAAAACATTGAGACTTACTTTCTCTCAGGAAAGCTGCTTCCTACCCATGGGTATCCTGAGGCTTTAGTGACAGTGTTTCTGGTGTCAGGCGCTGTGCTAAGAGTCTTACTCAACATCCTGAGGTGACTACTATGATTATGTCCATTACACAAAAGAGGAAACTTAGGCACAGAAAAGGTTTCTAAGCCCCAGGTCACACAACGCCAGCACGGAAACGGAATCTGCCTGACCTCCAAAGCTGGGTGCCTGCTGTGTGCCCCAGCCTCCCTGGATGATGGGAATGAAAGAAGTCTGTAATGTGAAAAAGGGGTGCAGAGGTGGGTGGCAGTTCCTATGAAAGGAGAAATACCAGAACGAGGGTTTATTTCAAATGTCAGAATTCTTCCCGGGGGATTCAACTTGGCATAGCTGTGTTCTCGTCCTTAGGAGTCCCTATCTCCCTCCCATTCCCGTCACTGCTTGCTCTATTCCACACCCCCTTTCCCAACCTCTGGAGAGCAGCTTAGCTCCTGGACTACACCCACCCTTTCCCCTTCTCTTTCTTGCCAGTAGTTATGACCCTTTGGACCACAGGCCCAGGCTGCCCTTGAGATGGGCCTGCCCACCTTGCAATCTCCTTCCCCCTCTGCTGCCTACCACACTCCCACTCCTCAGCTCTGCCCCTGGCTCTGCCTCCCACAGCTATTTCTCCTGGAGGGACTTGGATGGAGATCTTGGGATGCTGGGGAAGCAGTAAGCTGACAGGCAGATGGACAGACAGGCAAGTCGCTATCCTGGCCAGCCCTGATTCCCAGCTGAGCTCCCCAAAAGCTATACTCCTGAGCTCTAACCCCTCCCCAGCTGGGGTCTGACTGTCATCTGAGGTTTTCTCACTCTTACGGAGCCTCAGTTTCTTCACTTGCACTGTGGGTAAAAGTACTCATCTTTACCAGACGGATGCAAGCTGACTCAGTTTGGGGACACAAGAACAAATCCCGGATGTATCCCTCCTTAATGGAGAGACCCCTGCCTCTTGAGGGAGACATGATACCTGCTAGGTCCCCCAAGGTGACTGTAGTCCATAGGTAGAAGTGGGCGTAGATCTGGCCCCTGGTCCATTCTCAGCTCCAGAGCATTGGCCCTGCTCTATGCTGTTTTCAAGGGCTGCTCCTGCTGTGTCATCCCATCCATCAGATCAGGAAAGCTGCCACTAAGCCAGGCCTGTACTTAAAGTCTCAGAAAGTGGGGAGCCTTGGGCCACTGCTCCCGGTTATACCAAGAGCCTTTTTAAGAACCTGGAATAGGAACAAGCACCAGGGCCTGGGCCAGGGGCTAAGCACTTCCTTTTCTAGAGCTCTTGGGAACTTCCAGGGTGGTACCCAGAGCCCCAGCCCTATCCTCACCTCCTTCACCCAGCTCTGGCCCAGGTCCATGGCTTCATGCCAGTCTGATGGAAGTGGGTGTGACAGCCACCGCTGGGGTGAGAGGAAGAAAGGACAGGTTTGGGGAGCTTCCTTCAAACCTCTGAACCATTTTTCCTCCGCGAGGAGACACAGCACCCTGCTTGGCCCCTGCCCCCATGGCCCAAAGCTTCGGCTTCCACAATTCCCTTCCAGGCAGGGCTGGCAGAGGTGACTGGATGGCGACGAGAAGGGCAGAGTGAGTGGAGGCGTGGGCCCTGCTAGTGCACTCCTCAGCCAATCAGCGGCCTGCCTGGCTGGTGGATTTGGTTACAAGCCCAAGATCACCCCATGATCCTTCCTCCTCCTGCTGCAGCTCCACTCATTGGCCCCACCACACGGGCCACAGAGCCCTGCTGGGTATTGCTTCCGGCAGCTAACTGCTGCCTCGTGGGCTGCCAGGGACAGGCATCAGGGGTCTTTGTCTGACCAGGCTGGGCTTAGTCAAAATGGGGTTTCTGGCAGTGCTGTTGGGGGTGCTGAGCTTCCTAGCTGTGGCTCCAGGGGGCTGTGCTGCCTACTACTGGGCAAGCACCTCCTGCTACTACTGGACCAAGCATGTCCCTGGCAGCCCTCTGGGGTCTTTGAGCTTCCTCGGCAAGGATGCCCAGGGTCTGGCTCTGTTCCATGCTCACTGGGATGCTCAGGGAAGGCTGCAGGTATGCAGCAGGCAGGATGAGCCGGAACTCATTGAAGTCTTCAGTGACCTCTGTGCTCATGAGCCCACCCGCGGCTTCTTTATCCACACGCCAGGATCAGAGCTGCTGAGAGCACTGGCCAGCCTTTACAGTCAGTGGGAGACCTGCCAAGGGCCCTCAGGGCCCAGGGTGAAGCGGGCAGCAGAGCAGAGTGGAGCACCAGGCAGAAGACACCTGCGGACGAAGAGAGGATGGACCATCCCTGGCACGCTGTGGTGTGGAGTGGGGGACTCTGCTGGGAACTCCTCACAGCTGGGTGAGCCATGGGGCTTGGCTGGGCATCTAGTTGAGGAGGCACAGACTTCAGACCCTGGTCTCCTCTCTCTCAGGCTGTGTTTGTGTTTTTTTTTTTTTTTTCTCAGTACCGGGAATCGAACTCACGACCTCGCGCTTGCCAGGTAGGCGCTGTGCCACTGAGCTAAATCCCCAGCCCCTCAGGCTGTGTTTTTAGAGGAATAATTTCACCATTTGGAATTCAGTTTCCCTATACGTAAAGTGGAGATGACCAGGAGTCTCATCACAGGACACTTAAATGAGGTCATGGATGGGAAATGTTTTATACAAATCTGGGAGTCCCTATTAATCACCCTCTGAAGGAAGAGGCAGGGTGGGGTAGATCCAGGGTTTTCTGAGCCAAAAGCCAGTACCAAAAGGAGGCTTTAGTAGAACAAGTGTTGAAACCTGAAAAACTGGGTTCAAATCCCAACTCAGCATGTCCACGCTGAGCAATTCATTTCTCCTCACTGAACCCACTTTCTCAACTGTAAAACTAAGGTGACACCTCCCTCTCAGGGCTGCTATGAGCTTGGGAGCGGGAAGTACTAGGTGTTCGGGATATGCCCAGTGCCGGGCGCCATGGCCTGGACTATGATGGAATGCTGTTTGCAGCTGTGTGGAGGGTGAGGGAGGACTTGATACCTGAGTGGGGCAGTTTAGCATCCTGGCCCTGCCTTGTTGTGTTAGTAAGAAATGTTGTATCCTGCCTGTTTACCATTCCATTCCATACACATTCATAACCTAGGAGTGTGAGCTCAGGAATCCTGGAGGAAGATGCCAACTCCTTCGAGGAAGATCTTCCTCATGATCAAGGGTGGGCTGCCCAGCACTGGGAATTGCCCAAAAGGGTCTGCGATCTGTGTACACTGTGTAAGCTTTGAAACTGTGAGAGTTTCATAGAAGGAAAATGATTGGCCTGAGGCCGCCCAGGGGGTTTATGTCAGGGCTGACCTGAGAACCAGGACGCTGCCTTCTTGAGACCAGATAAGTGTAGCTATGTTGCCTGGACTCCTACTGAGCTGGTGCCCCTTTCTTCCACACAGGGATCTTCCAGGGGCCTGATCTCTGCTGCCGGGAACACGACCACTGCCCACACAACATCTCACCTTTGCAGTACAATTATGGCATTAGAAACTTTCGATTCCACACCATCTCCCATTGCGACTGTGATGCCAGGTTGGCAGAAGGCAGGGAGGGTCTGGGGCTCAGGGACAAGGCAGAGTCACCCAGTGCTTGAGTGTAGACACTAGGATTCCAGAGAATCCTAAAGATCAGCCAGCCTAGACACCATTGTGTGGGTGGGAAAACTGAGACCCAAGGGAAATAATTCTTGGACCCCAAACCATCTAGCTAGTAGTGGTAGGGTTGGCTGTGGGTGGAGCTAGAAGTTTGTCTGGGGCCCAGGGACCTGAATGCCAGCTCTGTGGCAGGTTCCAGGAGTGCCTGAGGAACCAGCACGACTCCATCTCGGACATCGTGGGTGTGGCCTTCTTCAACGTGCTGGAGATCCCCTGCTTTGTGCTGAAGGAGCAGGAGGCGTGTGTGCAGTGGTACTGGTGGGGCGGGTATGTGGCTGTGCCCCTTGAGCCTTTTCCCAGCCAGTGGGGTCACCTTGTTCCCAACCTGCTGAGGGAGGGCTGTCTGTCTGTCCTCCAGGGAATGATGCCTTGTTGGTCTCATCTTTTCCTTAGGGCAGGGCTTAGGGGTGCAGACCCTTCTCAGGTACCTTCCATAGCCAAGGGAGGTGGGAGATGGGACTGGCAGACGCTTGGTCTCTGTGGCAAGGACCTTGAGGGCTTCTGAGAGCAGAGATTCAGAGTCACCAATTGCCACCATCTGCTACCTTCCAGGTGCAAAATGCATGGTTCAGTGCCCCTTGCCCACCTCCAGCCCAGGGCCTTTTACAATGCTTCTTGGAACTCCCGGGCCACCTCCCTGCCTCCCAGGCCCCAGAGCCCAGCCCCCACCAAACCACAATGGACGCAGCACCCTCAGAAGAGGCGGTCACAGCAGAAAGGTTCTAGGCAGCCCAGCACAGCCAATGCCACAGTCTCTGAGGCCCCTGTGGGCTCCTCCAGACCTGATGTGACCCTTACAGCCCAGCTGGTGGTCCTTCATCCAGCCCTCCATGGTCTACAGAGTGGCCCCAAGTCTCAGAGTAAGTTCTGAATCTAACCTTGGGAGTTCCTGCTTCTGTGTGCATGGGGTTGCGGGGGGCATGTGTTGTCTCTTTCTTGCTGCAAACACCTCCCAGAATATCCCACCACTGAGCTACATCCCCGGCTCGTAGTGCAGTAAGAATTTTCATAATCCACAAATTGGGCCATGTTACTCCCTGCTGAGCCTCATCCCACTGTTGTCGTGGGTCCTTTTTAATCTCAGCTGACAGAGTTCCAGCACCCAGAGGCCCTCGGCCTCTACAGGCTCTATCTTCTAGTTTAAACTCCATTCTCACCAACTGCATTTAGTTCCTGCAAGGGCTGGGGATATAGCTCAGTGGTAGGATGAGATAACCTGCCTCCTCTCACCTCCGAGCCTTTGCGTATGCTGTTCTGTGTGCCTGGAACACTGCCCTGTCCCTTTCCCCTCCCAGGTTCAGCTTAATAGTCTCGCTGCTCTGTGCTGCCCCATGGTGGCACTGCTGTATGTATGACAGAGGGAGACAGCGTTTGTGGGACTGAGCATGTGTGCCGGTGTTTTTCCTGGGCGGTGGCAGGCACTGGTGAAGCCTCCTAGTGGACTGGGTTCCCTTCACCACCACACATGTCCCTAGGCACCCGCTGGGCCTGCAGCAGCTTCCGCCTCCTGGACCAATGTGAGCACCAGATCAGGCCCCAGGAAACCAAGTTCCAGCTGCTGAACAGTGCCGGCGATCCGCTCTTCCACTGCAATTGCACACGCCGGTGAGGCCTACTGGCCCCCTTAGGGGTGGGCTGTCTTCTGCCAGGCACTGGGAGGGGGCACCTTCCTAGCGAGGTCCTGTTCCAGCCTAAGTCTGCCTTTGCTTGCAGCCTGGCACACTTCCTGAAGAGCCACAAACCACCTGCAGGTGCCAACATGCTTTGGAAGCGGCTGGGCACCACCTGCTTCAAGCTGGTACCTCCACTGGACTGTGCTGAGGATAAAGGGTAAGCAATGGCAGAGCCAAGAAGGATGGAGAGCTTGGCCCATGGGTTGCACTACTTAGATACCAATTGTGTGCCTGGGCCAAGGGGGTGGGGAAAAGGCCAGGGAGCTCCACTATCATCACCTCTCTAACCCACTGTGCCCTGAGTCCAGCTCTGCAGTTAGCCTGTGGCATCTTAGTGGCATCATTTATACGTGTCCTTGACAGGTTGAATCAACCCTTCATTTCCTTATCTGTAGAATGGTTGTAGGGGCCAAGGAAACTGCTTGCACACTTTAATGATTTTTTTTTGTGTGTGATGATACTGAGGAATGAACTTAGGGCCTTGTACACGCTTGAACTCAAAATATAGCACAGGCTGGCCTTGAACTCACAGTAATCCTCTTGCTTCAGTCTCCCAAGTGCTGGGATTACAGGTGTGCACCTCCACTCCTGGCTCTTCATGTTTACTCCTAATCCACAATCTTATTTGAATTGTGATTCTCAAAGCCAGCCCTTTATAATTTCCCATTTTACAGATGAGAAAGAAACTGAGGCCCAAAGTGAGGTACAGCCAGCTAGTACAAGAACTCAGGCCTTTGGGTACCAACTCAGGCTTATTCTTCCCCTTTCTAGATGTAAGTCCACCCTCTCTGCCTTGCTAGTGACCCTGACCCTGGCCCTGCTCCTCCCTAGACCTCTGTTTTCCTCTCTGTATAGTAGGGTGGGATTCGACAAACCCTGACCACCTGCCCTCTTCTTACCCGACAGCTGCTCCAGAGAACCCAGAGCCATCAAGGTGTCAGCTCGGCACTTTTTGAAACTTCAGCAGACACAGCTCCAACGCCAGGATAAAGGCACTGACAGGGGGCAGGCATGGCCTTTGCAACCGCCCATGTCATTCTACAACCAGTGCCTACAGCTGACACAGGCAGCCTGGAGACCCAAAGGGCAACAAAAGTTCCAGAGTTAGTGACCTCAGTTCCAGCTTTCCTAGGCACCAGCTTGCACCTCGTCCCTGGCTTCCTGGGAATCTTGGCTTCCTCTTCATAAGTTCAACTGCAGCATGGCAGAGGCTGTTAAGGACAGCCAGAAGGCCCAAATGCTGGACCACATTTCCTGCTGTGCTGGATGACCTTGAGCTGGTGACACAACCTCTCTGTGCCTGGATATGGTGTTCAAAAGGCTCGCTCTGATGAGCATGGGCATTGTCTGGGAACTTTACACACAGAGGGAGAAGGGGAGAGAGTAACTTACTGCAGCAGTAGCAGCAGGTTCCGGGGACAGGTACAGGTATTTCCACGTTGCAACGTTAATGCATAGCTCAAGAACCTACTCAGGGGAGCCCCAGAACCCAGCTATGAGACCTGGGGCAGCAGGTAGGAAATTAGGGATGTCACAGAAATGCCTGCATCTGAATCCGGGATGGGGGTCCTGGAAAGGCCTTTCCAACTCTGCTTTTCCCAAGGAGGCTCTTTCTTTTAATAGCTGCAATGTCTTTCCTAACCCACACCTGGACCACTCTGCTCTAAACCTGTATTCAAATCTCCTCCATGCCCTTGGGAAGGGACCTCCCTCTCCCTCCTCTGAGCCTTGGTTCCCTCATCTGAAAAAGGGGTTGTAAACATGAGCTACCTCATAGTGTTGTTGAAGATTAAGTGAACAAATTATATACATATATATGTGTGTGTATATATATATATAGCTTAACGCTCAGTAAACATTTTCCCTCTTCGGCACACAGCCAAACTGTCTGATCTTGAGAGGCTGGCGTAACCTCTTAGAGGCCTCAGTTTGCTCATTTGTAAAATGTTTCTAGGAATGGCACTGAGCCCACAGGGCTGTGGTACAGATGAGAGATGGCAGATATCCTGTGTATAACTGGAGCCTGGTAGATATCAGTTCTGTCGTTCCCTTGCCTCTTTAATCCCTGCTGCTGACTGACCACCCCCAGGCCTGAACTGCTAACGAGTTAGGAAGGAGCCAGGAGTGAAGCTGGAGAATTTAATTCCTGATGAATGACCTCTGGGCTTGGGACATCTGCCAGATTTTCCCCACCATCCCAGATGGGGGCCCAGGCGGGGCTTTGCTGATTGTCACAGTTGAGGTGCCAATTGGCCACCCCTGGCCAGGACAAAGGCAGGTACAGATACAGCTGGAGTGGCAGCAGGAGAGAGGCAGGTGGGTTTATGGAAGAGTGAGGCAGTGTGGGGCCACGTGGGCCCGTCTGCCTACTTTGCCCTCAGGGCCCCAGGCCCCCTTCCTCTAGCCCCTGCCTGCCCTAGGGGCTAGGAGACAGGCTGTCAGGGTCAGGAGCTTCCTGATCAGGCCCCCAGGGGCCACCACCACCAGGATCTACGGTCTCTAGGCGCAAGGCAGGCAGCAGGCCCAGGCTTCGAGGCACAGTTGATGGGAAGGCCCAGGGGCCAGGCAGCCCAGAGGGCCCTTCTTCACTACTGCCTCTGCTGCTGGTGCCGTTGCTCCTGCCATTGCTCCTATCGGGGGCCACGCGGTGTAGCTGGCGGCTCTGGGGCGAGGGGCTACGGCTGGCACCACGGCGTTCACGGGAGGAGGGTCGGAGGGCAAAACTGGAAAAACGGGCCAGTCCTGGGCTGCGGCTACGGTGTCGCTTGGACTTGCCAGGACTGGGGCTGCGGGACTTGGGTGCAAGCAGCTCCAGAGTGCTGTCATCCTCACCCTCCGAGGAGGTGCCCGAGCTGTCTGTGCTGCTGCTGGAGGACTCCGAGGTAGGCAGAGAGATCTGGGGGGGAATACTGGTCACTGGGGCATCCACTCCGCATGGCCACTGAGGCCTCTTGGAACCACTTCCCACCTCCCCATCGGCAGACCTTCGGGTCTGGCTGTTGCCTTGATGTCACAGTGCAGAATGTGGAGGTTGTGGCATTTGGTAGGGCCTTTTGCCCCTCCCTCTGAACTCTACAGTGTGACCTATTTACCTGGAAGGGTTCAGTGACACCGATGAGGATGCTCTGGTTGTGACTGTAATAGCCCAGGATGAAGTCTCCGTGGCCCTTGGGTAGTGATTCCTCACTGAATGTCACCTGGTGAACCCAGGGATATAGTCCCAAATTGGGGTCAGGGGGCAGGCTCAGGACCCCCCAGGCTGAGTCCTGAGTTCCCCGGGGCAATGGGAGTTTCCCCTTTCTTCCCTTCCTTTGAAGTACCTGGTAGATATTCCCATCCACATCTTCATGTTTGGCCCAGACATAGGCCACGTAATCCTTGCAGTGGCGGAAACCCACCTGGAGCAGGAGGAATCAGGGCTGTGACTCCAAATTCTAATCCCAGAAGCCCCCCAGGGTGGCATCAGACTCTGGACCAGCCAGTGACCCAACCCTGCCTGAGTGCTTTCCTGCTCCCCCAGACCCCTTCCTCCCCTAAGACCCTGGCCTCCCCTGCCCCGCTCACCCGGTACAAGCCGATCCAGTCCCAGGAGCTGCGGGCAAACACTGTTTCCATGCGGTACCTCACCACAGCCTGCTCTGGCCGTACCCACTCATCTGCCACCTCCAGCCGTACCAGTGGCACGTCGTCCCTGAAGGCAAACTGCCCAGGCAAGGCAGGGCAAAGGGCAACATCAGGGGAGACTCTGTAGCATCCCACACACCCAGGGCTCTTGGGCCAGCACAAATTAGTGGAGATGAAGGGACTTTGAGGTCACTTCACAGACTGAGGAACAAAGACAGAACAGAACTAGGATAAATATCAAACTTCCTGCCTCCCAGCCCAGGGTTCCTTCTGTCCACAAGCTCCTTAGGGCATGAGTGGAACACGGCTTTGAAGCTAGTGCACCGTATGTTAGGGCCTGGCTCTGCCTTTGGTAGGTTATGCAATAAGCACATTCCTTAGCCTGTCTGGATACCAAGGACCTTATGGGTAAACTCAGAGGCTTTTTTTTTTTTTTGTACCAGGAATCAAACTCACCACCTCGCATTTGCCAGGCAGGCGCTGTGCCGCTGAGCTATATCCCCGGCCCGAGGGTCTTATCTAGTACCTGGGACTGTTCTTACTGATTCACTAAGATACCATTTGTAAAGTATTCTGTAAACTTCACAATGTAACAGGTGCTCAATAAACGATTTGCTTATATGCTAGTAAGAGAGATAGGTAAAGTCTTGTGACATAATGGGTATTCTGGAGTAAGCTGAATATCCCTGAGCAGGCAAAAACAATCCTGGGTGGGTGGGTAGAGACCTCAGTTCATTTCTAGCCTCTGCCACTAACTTGCTGTGTCACCTTAAAATGAGGCTTTTGCCATTCCAAGACTTAATTTCTCTATCTGAATCTTAAGTACTGAGAGCCCACTAACAATTGTCTTGTCATTAGGGCATGAAGACATTAGAACACTGAGTATCCTTCCCCCAGGGCCAACCAAGCCAATCAGGGAGTCACTAGAATGAATGAAGCGGCCAGGGCAGTGGGCAGCCACAGTACTGGCTCCACCTGTGTCCCCAGCAAAAGGAAACGTTTAGGTGGTGCCAGACTCAGGCCTTTGTCTGCTCCCCTGTTGATCTAATTTCAGGTCTCCCCACCCCCTGCTTCTCAGCCAAGATGTTCCAGAAGTAACTGGCACATTCTCTCCTTGTTCCTGGGTTGAATGGCTAAAGGGCTACCTGAAATGCCCTCCAAGGGCTTACAAGGTCAGAATCCTATGAAGCCCTATTCTGACTTGCTGCCTTGGAAAATAGACCTAAGTTTTCTGAACCTCAGTTTCTCTAGCTAGTAAAACAGAAAGGAGACTTTGGGCACCTCAGGGCCTATTAAGACATGCGAAGGAATGAGGTATATACAGTGCCCTATATCAGATGTGACATGTAGTATGTATTCAACAGGTAACATTTTTGAGGGACAGTCCTGAGAGACAAGACAGAAAGGACAAGGTGGGGTGCCAAAAGGAGTTTTTTGGTTTGTTTCTTTGTTTTTTGAGACAGGATTTTGTGATGTAGTCCAGGCTGGCCTTGAACTCACTATGTAGCCCAGGGTGGCCTTGAACTCATGGCAATCCTCCTGCTTCAGCCTCCTGATTGCTGGGATTATAGGTGTGCTACCACACCTGGCTGTGATTTTTTTCTGTGCTAGAGACTGAACACAGGGTTTTGCATATGCCAAAGAAGTGCTCTATCATTAAGCTATTTCCCCAGCCTCTCAGAAAGAGAGATTCTCAAGGCAGGATCCCTGGCTGAGGGTTAAAACTCATGTCCGAGCCCTTTATCAAAGGTCACAGGAGGCCAGGCATGGGCAGATATCTGTTGCCAGCTAATAACACTGACCATATGACCAAGTTACCAGGAAAAGCATTCTCTGGCTTACAGAGCTCTTTCTTATCAGATCAAGATACCTGAAGAACCCAGAGTTGACTTTCAGGATTGGAAAGATGAGATCTACCCTGTTCTACTTCTGCCACTGAGTCTTTGTGTGACTCAGGCACCTGTCTACCTCACTAGGAGCCTCAGGTTTCTCCATTAAAAAATACGGAGTTCATCTTTTAGATCTGGTTCTGTCATGCTAAGAATTCCTTTTTACTTTGGCAACATGAAACCTCAGTGCTCAATACAATACAGGCATCCTTCAGTATTTGTGAGGAATTGGTTCCAAGAACCCTGGCAGATATCAAAATCCCAGGCATAGGGGGCTGGGGATTTAGCTCAGCAGCACAGTGCCTGCTTGGCAAGCATAAGGTTGTGAGTTCGATTCCCGGTACCGGAAAAAAACCAAAAAAAACCAAAACAAACCAACCAACCAAGTATGCTTAAATATCTTATATAAAATGGTATAGTGTGTACGTATAATCTTGTATATCTTCCTATATCCTTTAAATCATTTCTGGATTATTTATACCTAATACAAAGCCAATGCTATATAAATAGTTGTGCTATATTGCTTAGGGAAAAATGACAAGAAAAGTCTATTGGTGTTCAATGCACACTCAATACTTTTTCTGAATATTTTTGATACACAGCTGGTTGAATCACAGATGCTGAACCTATGCTACAAAGGACTAACTGTACTAAACTGTGGTAACCATTCTGAGTTTGGCTTTGTGCTTTTTTATATTTCTACTCCCTTCTCCCATCACTACCTTACGCTTATAATGCCTACGCCTTAGTAAGTAAATAATGAATGAATGCCACATAGGGTTTGAATAAACATTTGAGTTTGCTGGTCTTATACATGTAAATTTTAATATATGTTGCCCTAAATCTTTCTTAGAAGAAGCAACTCAGAGATTAGCGAAACAAGCATGAACTCTGCAATCAGGCTGGCCCAGGTTCAAATCCTAACTCTTCCTCTGACTAGCTGTGCGACCCTGGGGAAGTGATGCTTTGACTCAGCCTCTGCTTCATCTGAAGATGAGGACTGTAACCCCCCTCCCAGTCTGTTAGGACAAACGGTTGCTGTAGGTATGAGGGGTTATTGGTGGACAGTGGGATGCTGAGCTGGGCCACAGAGATGTCACGAGGGGAGGATGATGCCAGGACTCACCCGCAAAACAAACTGAGCAGCCACGGGCTTGTGGTCACTGACTGTATATTCCATGTGGCTGCGGTAGCTGTGTTGCATCACCTGGAGCCGGTGGCTCTCCCGTCCTGAAGGGCTAGGACTTCCACCTGGAGCCTTGACTTTCCACAGGATACGATCTGTCCAGGCTGGCTTCCGCCTCTTGGCACTGTAATGGGCAGGGGTAGCTTGAATGTCAGGTTCTGGGGATCGAGGCAGAGCCCCAGCCTTGCCTCCAGCCCTGCTTCCCACAGTCTCTCATCTCTAGCAGACTTCGGCCCATGATCCTACCCTATCCCAGTGCTCACCTGGTATCATATTTGTTGGTGCCCACATCAAACTTGAAGGTGGGAGCGAAGTTAAGGGGCCCCTCTTGGAAGCCCTTCAAGATGGGCCAAGTGTTCTTGGCTATGTTGAGCTGTGGGGGTCCAGAAGGACAGAGTTAGACAAAAGCTTGGGACCTCCATCACCCAGACAGGGTGCGGAGCAGGTGAGGGTAAGCACCATAGCCTAAGGTATACAAGTACATCCTAGGAAATGCTCCGTGTGCTTGGGGTTTGGAGTAGGGGCCAGGATTCCCCACCTGGTCCTTCTCCCAGAGTTGATGGAGCTTGTCGCTGTCGATAGCGAACTTGACAAAGTGCAGGTCGTAACTCTCGATGCGGAAGTTCAGGTCCCCAAACCAGAACACAAGGCTGTTCGCAAGCGGGGGTCAGTGAGGCCGTGGAGAGGAAGAGCTCAACACAGATCCTTCCTGGCCTCCGTCCAGGAAGCACAGGCACCTCTAGAGATGCCAGTAGGTGGGTAGGTGGCAGCACAGTCTTCAGCCCAACAAGGAGCTAAGGGGGTGGAGGGGCAGGTCTAGAGGAAATTAGGTTGCAACTGCCCCTCAGCAAAGCTCTACTTGTAGGTTCCACCCCTCCCCATCAAACTGCTACCCATCTCCCTGTTCCTACAGGTAGTTTGGGTGGCCACTCACCCCAAGAGACCCGCGCTTCTCTCTACAGGCCCCTCCCAGACACTAGTTCCACCCAGCCTCCGTATGGTCCCTGGCCATACTCATGATCCAGGATGCCTTGTGCACCGGGTCCCTGGAATTGCTGGAGACTAAGGATCGTTTGAAAATTGTCCTTGCGCTGCTCCGCTTTGTCCATATGCGCAGGCAGGTGGCAATTCAGGAAGCAGAGCATGTGCCCGAAAGCTGCCAGGCGCACACTCACGCCACCCTTGTTACCCTAGGAAGGAAGGATTGGGTCGGTCATGGGCGGGGCCTCGACCAGGAGATAAGGTACTGGGCGGGGTACAAGAGCGTCTGAGGGCGGGGCAGGGCTGGATCCTGAGGAGAGGCAGAGCACTGGGCTGGGTAAGGAGATAAGGGGGCGGGGTCAAGGGAAAGGGCGTGGTGTTGGGCGGCGCTTGGAGAGGGGTAGGCCACAGGATAAGAGGTGTGCGGGGTTTAGGCCAACCTTTCGGCCCCATCCCCGGACCTGCTCCCAGGCTCACCCAGTAGCCGCCCAGGCCAGTACGTGTGCAGTCGGTCTGCACGTCCCGCAGGAAGGGCAGGTGGTAATACTTAGCGAAGAGCAGAAGGATGACGCCTTGCATCCTCACCGTACTCACCTGCAGGGGGAGGTCGCAGGGGACAAGGTTGGAGGCTGGGGTCCACAATGCCCGGGCCTTGGACCCTGCCTTTGCCTTTCCCAGTCCCTAAGGTCTGCTTCTCCTATTTCACTAATCCGTAGCAGTGGCCCAGCGGTCCCCACAGTGAGTCAGGGGAGAGAGGGGGCCAGGAACCCAGGACAGTCCCTGCTCTCCCAAAAGGCGAAGGGACATTACCAGCACGAAATTGAAGGGCCCCAGCGCTTCCATGAATAGCTCGCTCCACTGGTCCGTGAAGAGAGCGTCCTTGAGTCTCTTGTTGATCATGGAATTCACTTCTTGCAACCTAGGGGAGTTGTGGAGTGGAGTAGCCTTGGATTGGAGGGGTGTCCTAGAAACTCCTGCTATATTAAGGATCCAGAAGGCCCAAGAATTCAGGAAGGGGTCCACCCGCCCTTCCCCTCACCCTATGGCGATCATGTCTGCACCATCACTGTTATCACCACCGCCCAGGTGGAGGAGGGATGTGACATCGTCTGGAGGCATGGCGGTGCCCACGTTCCATGTGACCACAGTGATCCTGGCGGCGGGGACATAGGAGAATTCACCTCTGGGCACCACTTCCCTACTTTCTCCCTTCCTCCCACAGGGTTCTCTCTAGGGAGGTAAACTGGGGCAGATGGGGTGATAAGCCCTTAGAAGGGCCCATTGTGGGACCAGTGAGCCTCTTATCTACTCCCCCTGGGGAGATAAACTGAGAAAAGACCAAAACCCTAGGGAGAGATGCTGTCTTCTGAGGCTCCCAGAGTGATCCCAGAGCCCTCCCATGGGCAAATCCTCAGGAGACAAACTGAGTCAGAGTACACCATCACCCTGGAAGGATAGTCAGTGTTCAAACTCAAGCCCCAAAAACCTTTCCTGGGAGAGGGCCCCCTCACCGGAATCCGGGGTCGCTCTTGCAGGTAGGCTGAGCTGACCAAGAGGAGGATGATGAAGTGGATGTAGGAGAGGTGGTGACCGGGGCTGGAGCTTCTCGGGCTTGAAGACTGGGGCTCAGGCCCCTGCCAGGCATTGCACCCTGGTTCCCAGGCCCTGTACCTTGGGTGACAGGCCCTGCGCCCTTGGTGCCAGGTCCCACGCTCTGAGTGGCAGGCCCTGTACTCTGGGTGCCAGGCTTGGGGACAGTCACCTCAGGGGCTGAGGGGACACAGGGAGAGTGGCTGGGGGAGCGGCTGGGGGAGCGACTGGGAGACCGAGGTGGCTTGGGCAGAGCTGGGGGTACTGTCTGGCCTGAGAGTGTCCCTGGCCGGAAGGTAGGGGACAGAAGTCCAGGGGAACGGGTGCCAGGCTCCGGAGGGCTCTGGCCCACATCCAAGGGCAGGGTCTGCGGTGGCCGTGGCAGGACAGGTTCCTCGGGGCTGTTGCGGGGAGCCTCAGGCCGGGCTCTGAAGGTTGGGGAGAGCCGGGGGTCTGGGGAAGTTTGGATCAAGGATGGGGAGGCTGTAGGCCCAGATGTCTGAGCTGGAGGCTGGAGATGCCCCTCAGAAGCGGGGAGTGGTCTCAGGACTGGGGCATCCTTCTGTCTAGTTGCTGTCCATCCCATAGAAGGAGGGGGTGAGGCCATGGATGCTGGAGTCAGGGTCTGTTCCTGAGAGGGCGACAGAACTGGACTGGGCACTGGGGAAGGACTGGATGGGGGCTGGTGGGACTCCTCCTGAGAAGCCAGGGCCAGGCTCAGGCTTGAAGCTGCCAATGCTGACTTAGGTTCCATGGAGGTGGGTGACAATTGCTTCTTGTCTCTGGAAGCTGGAGCCATGCTGGTCTTCAGGGTAGCTGGGGAAGGTCTTGGGACAGCTGAGGCAGACACCACCAGCTGCCCCAGAGATGTTGGAGCCAGGACTGAGCCTGAGGTTGCTGGGGAAGGCTTTGGTCCAGCTGAGGCACACACCACCAGCTGGCCCACACATGTTGGGGCTTGGCTGGAGCTGCGGTGGGCAGGAGCTCTTCTGTGCCCTCCAGGGGTAGACAGTGGAGACAGGATGGGCCGGGGAGATGCCAGAGCCAGCCTTGGCCCCTCTAAGGAAGGTGACATTGCTGCTCGTGGCCCCACAGGCGCCAGAGCCAACCTTGGTTCCAAGGGTTCTGGAGCTGCAGTCTCCTTCACTGGGAGCTGAAAACTTGAGTCCACCTTGTAGAGGACAAGTCAATGACTCAGAGTGGCCCTAACTAGGGAGCTGAGGCTTGACTTCCGTACAGACCCTTGTAGACCCCAAAGGTATATCTTTCCCAGGCAGTTCTTCCTGATATCTCACCCCAATCCATTCTGCTGCAGGTCAGCTTCTCTCTTAGAGCAGACAGGACGCAAAGCCTGTCCCCTTCCCAGCCTTCTCTTTCACAGGTGGAAAAACTGAGACCCTGACTTGAATAAGGCAAAGTGAATCTGAGGGCTCTCTAGGTTCTCCTGGCTGGTACCCACTCCCTGCCTACCCCAATCCCCAGTCCCAGCAGCTCCTCCAGCCACAGGCGCTGACCTGACAATCCAGGTCTGCCTACACTGGGCACTAGCTCCAGCCTATTCAATACCTCTCCGCTCCTCCACGGAGCCCAGAAGCCCTCGAGTCCCTTCTCACAACCACCACCCAACATCCCGCCCTCTTTGGTCACAGCCTGCTCTGTGATCCATGCCGAAAGCTCTAAGCAGGAACAAGAGCCGGAGACTAAAACTGGCCATGCAGATTCCCAGCCCAGCTCTGTGTGGTTTTAGCTGCCCAGTGCCTCAGTTTCCCTGCCTGTAAATGAAGGCGCTTGATGAAGGGTTGTTGAACACAGCTCTCCCTGAGGAGTCTTGATCTCATATTCTGTGCATTTATGAGCGCACCCTTTGCTGTACTAGAATTCCAGAGAGGGCTGTGGCACCAGCCCCTCCTCTCCAAGTGTGGTTGTACCATTCAGAGCAGGTCGATCCTGGTCTCGAACCTCTCAGTGCCCAGGTGGTACCCTCTTGCCCCATCCACTGTCTCCCCCACCAGGGAGGGCAGGCAAGCAGGTGTCCCCTTATGTCTGGCAGGTGGTGGGGGCACTGCAGGGGCTTGCTCTCCTTTCCCCACTCATCCTCTGTTTATGGTGCTCCTTGTCACAAGAAGCTAGGATAAAGTGTCCTTTGCCAGGGAGGACAGAAGGTCTACCTTTGCCCCAGGGTGGCTGGATCCCTGCCGCCAGAGACGCAGTTCTGTCTCTGTCTTGTGTCCTTCTCGGTTCACAGAACCTGAAACTCTGCCTCTACCTCCTTTTCCAAACTCAGCCCTTCAGGCTGCATCTTGGACATCCTCCTTGGCTCCAAGTGTCCCACTGTGTGCCCCCTCCCCCTCAACCACAATACCGCCTCCAGCACTAACAACTTAGACATCCCAGATGTCACAGTTTTAGTTTTCAGAGACAAGCCCCCTCATTTTGCATTGGCTCAGAGAAGACAAACAACTTGCCCAAGGTCACACAGCAAAGCCAGAGAACAGCGGGGTCCCCCGACACCATAGTCCAGGTCCAAGGCTCTTCTGGGGTCTCCTGGAGAGGACTGACTCTGCCTCTTCTTGGGCATCTCATCATTGCACCTCAGCACCCAGCATGACCTCTTTGCCTGCCCCCCCGCCATGGTGGGCACAGAAGAGTGCCAGCCCCTTAGCCAGGGCATCAGCGTGCCTGCAGTTTATATGTGTGAGATTAGGGATCCAGAATGGGGGGGGTCTGGGTTTGGGGGAGTCTTACCTTGGAGGGTGTTCCAATTTGAGAAACCCCATGAGGCACCAGCAAGGAGCCCAGGCCGGCCCGGGTCCCTGGCTTCCCACTGCTGCTGCTGCTCCGGCCCTCCATGTCTGCAGCCCCCAGCAGCTCAGGCTCCCTCGGGCTCTGGCTCCAGCTCCTCCGCTCCCGGGAACCGTGATGTCATCAGCCGTTTCAACCTGCTGAGAATTTAAAGGCACAGGCACCTACTTCCTAGCCTGGAGGTGGCCAGAGCAAGGTGGCTACCCTCCAGGAACTTTTCAAGCTGGCTGCTGAGGTTGGAACAGCCATGGGGGCTGGGGTATGCCCAGCAGCCCAGCCTAGGTCCCAACTGGAAGCCTGGAGGAGGCCCACTGTTTGCCCCCACCCTCACTCCTAGACCTGGCAAGCCTTTGCTCCTGGGAGGAGCATTGACACACCTGTGAGACAGGTGGCTCAGAGGTCAGCACCCTCTCAGGGCCTCAGAGACACTGAGTCCCTACCCTGATCCTGCTTCCTCACTCCCTGCCAGCTTCAGCCTTGTCTTAGCCCCTACCCTTGCCTTATTTTCAGGCCTGGTATTTGCTCCCCTTCTTCCACACCCCACCCCTTCTCCTTGGCTTTATTCTTCCCAATCCAGAATGAGACAGTCAGGCTCCAGTCACTGGAGTCCTGTCCCATCTCGATCTCAGCAATGGCCCCTCTTCTTCTGCAGATACCTTGTTGCCCTCAGATATCCCCACACCCAGGCCTGGCTCAGTGCCGCTCCCTTCAGCTCTCCTCTCTCTAGTACAGTGGGTGTGTTTCAGGAAGGAACTTGCTCAAGGTCACTTGGTGAACCAAGGAAGTCTCCTAACTTTGACTAGGAAATTGGAGGAGCGGTCGAGGTGATGGCAACGGTACAGATCCTGGTGACGGTTGTAGAAGGAAGGGATGGTGGCCATGGCAATAAGGGTGGAGGTAAGACGGGAGCAGAGGAGATGGTGAGGGCGTGGTGTGGATGGCTGGGGTGGTGGTGGAGCTGGAGGTGTGGAAGTGGAGACGGCGGTAAGGGAGGGTGTGAGAGTGAACGTGGCGGTGGTGCTCAAGTCACCAGAAAGCAAAGGAAAATTTGAGCTCACCTTGGCCGGCCCTCTGACTCCCATTTCACAATTGAGAAAAGTTAGGCTCCGCAAGCTTATCCCCTTTAATGCAATCTTGGGAGGGATTGGGGGCAGATCCAGGCCCCTAGGACCAGTTCCAGGTTTTGGGATAGGGACAACGAAACATTTTACAAGCTTGCCAAATATCATGCAAAGCAGTATGCAGAGAGCTCCTCTGCCCCAGGGACCACCACTCCCCGACCGCCCAGCTTGGATCCCATAGGGGACTGTTTCTAGTCTTGACACTGACTTACTGGGAGAAGTTGCTTAAGTTCCTGATTTGTATGAGGGAGATAGAAATAGTAGGTATCTCTTTAAGTTTGCTGTGAAGATTAAACAAGATAATACACAGGAACTATTTAGCACAGAGCCAGGCAGAAACAGGCTCTCAGTAAAGGCTCTTTAGTTGTCATCAGCATCATCATCATCCTCACTCTTGTCATCTACTCCAGCCCACCCATTTGACAGATGCTGAAACTGAGGCCTGGAATGTTTATATCCCTGGGAGGAAGGGGAAAAGGAAGGGGGTGGCGGGGGGCGGACCCTGGCTGAGAAGGGAGCGGGTAGGAGCTATATTTGAGCTCCTGGTGTGATGACTAAGGAGGTTGATAACAGGCTCTAAGGCTCAGGGCGGCAGGCCGGGGGCAGCTGCCAGGGAGAACCGCCCCCCTGGAGATAGCTGTCTCCGGAGGCCTTCCCTGGCTCCCTCCTTCTCTCCCTTTTCAGGGCTGCAGGGCAGCGTGGGAGACCCAAGGCAGAGGGTACAGCTTATCTGGCCCATTCTGGAAACTCCTAGGGCTCCCTTTCAGGCTGTTTGGGTCAAGGATAAGAAGGGAAAATGTTGATGGTTGGCAGATTATCTCGGTCACTCTCCATAGTTACCTGGTAAGCCCCCATTTGACAGAGGAAACTGAGGCCGCATAGAGGATGTGCCACACAGGCACTCTGAGGGAGGTGGTGGATATTTCTCCCCTGCAGAAAAGGTAACTGTGGAACTCCTTCCTGGACGGAGAGTCCCTGTTGCCGAATCAAAGGTGAGCAATGCCCTGGGAAGCAGAGAGAAAGTCAGGTGCAGAGATATGGGTGTGGAAGGTTCTGCCTGTGGGAGGATGCAAAATCTGGACACGTGTCTCCAGAATATTGGCTCAGACTAAACACACCATGACATGGAAGGGAAGGAAGACTTTTTCCTTCTTCTTTTCTCCTTGTCTTCTTCACTCCTTCCAGGGACACTTGAAGATAGCACAGAAGAATCTGTCTTTCTTTTTTTTCCCCTCGTCGCTCTGATCCAGGCCCACCCTGAGGGAGGTCATGCTGTGGCCACTGTGTGGGAAATGTCCAGCAATATGTAGAGCGTGAAACAGGGCATTGTGGGAAGGTGGCTGAGGGAAGAATCAGGGAGGATGAGGAGAACAGATCACAAAGGAGCACTGTTTCTCCTGAGACTTCCCTCCAAAGCTTCTTACTGCTAACAAGTGGTATTTGTTATGTCCCTGGTCCTTCCTTTCCACTCTCTGGGGTAGGGGTCATCCTCACCCTCCATTCTGCCTTTTAGGAGATGGGCTGGAGGTGGAGGGGTGACTTTTCCAAGGTCACACAGCTGTGGCTGAGCTCAGGCATCCCTCCTTCCTCTCTTCAGCTCCCCCTCCTCCCAGGCAGCCTGGCACCCGCTGTCAGCTGCTCTGAAGTGAGTGGCTATTTTTATTCTGGTGCGAGGGGATCTCAAGCAGCAGAGCCATGTAGGTTAGAAGGCTCTAGGACACCAGCCTCAGTAGGCAAGGGAAAGCTTCCTGCAGGGACCAGATCCTGCTAAGCTTGCCTAGGGGTTCTCACTTCTTACAGACTGACCTACTGTGGGATTGCATGTCTCCCGAAATTTCCTTATTGGAACTCAGAACAGAGCTCTGGTCATGGCCCTGATCCCACATCTAACTTATCTCCTAATTATTTGTTGACTGAGCCCTGGTGTCACGCAAAGACAGAGCCTCTACTCCTGCTCTAGACTGAATTCTATCACCTTAGAATGAGCCCTGACTAGTCATGTATTGAGCTGTGATCCAAGCTTGACAAAAGGTTAACCCCAATTTAGATCCTGATTTTGAGCGCAGACTGAGCCCTGATCTTAGACTAAGATTAAGCCCTAATCACAGACTGATCTGTAACCTCAGTCCGGAGCAACCTTTGTTTTGAACTGAACCTTGATTCTGGTGGAAGATTAAACTCTCATCTTGGTCACAAACTGAGCCCTGATTTCAGGTTAAAATCTGACCCTCACTCACGAAAACTCTCTAGCTACTCTGGTCACACACTGAGCCCTGACCTCTAACCCTGCCCTGAATCTGGTTGAAGTCTGAGCTCCGAGCTTAGTCATTGGCTGAGCCATGACCCTGGTCACACTGAGCCTTGATCTTGGTCACAGACTGAAGACTAAGCCCAATTGTTGACTGAGCCCTGACTCCAGTTCAGACTTAGTTCTAAACTTGATCTTAAACCAAGGGCTGACTCTGACCCTGTCTGAACCTGAGCCTGTCACAGACTGAACTCCAATCTTAGCCTTATCCAAGGAAGGCCGGTGGCCTGATTACATGCAGCCACATAAGGAGTATAAATTAGTAGCAGAGATCTGTCCTGAGAGATCTGGGGCTTCACATGCTGCTGATGCCGGAATATTTCTGGTAATACTGTGGCCACTGTCTCCACTGCTGATTCTCCTGGCTGTCTGGTCAACCCTCAGCAGCCCACACTATGGCTCCCACAGGCCACAGTGTCCAGGTTAATGCAATGAGAGTGATTCCATGGCATCTGTCCAGTGAACAAGGGCCCACGGGGCACTGGAGTTTGGCTTTGTCAGCAGAAAAACCACAGGCTCTAGCTTCAGTCATTCTGGGGCCCCTGCTGGGGTGGAGTTGGGGTAGAGAGGGCCACCGGGATATGTTTCATTGTTTTTGTAAATAAAGCTTACTATTTGTGTTTAGTTAATGCATACTTATCATAAGAAATACAGAAAAAGTATAAAGGAGAAAGAAATTCGCATATAATTTTATCTACCAAGAGATGACCATTTTTACTTTTTCAGTTGTTTCTTTCTAGATTTTTTTGGACTAGGCACATATGTTTACATATATATTTTATTTTATTTAATTAATTTATTTATTTTTTGGGTTTTTGAGACAGGGTCTCGATATGCAGTTCAGGCTGGGCTTGAGCTCACTTTGTAGCCCAGGCTGGTCTCGAACTTGCAACTATCCTCCTGTCTCAGCCTCCTAAGTGCTGGGATTACAGGTGTGTGCCACCATACATATATATTTTAAAAAATTGGTTGGCCACTGTGCTGTTATCACAACATGTATTGCAGTCCATCTCTTTAATAGGAACCAGAACATGACTGACCCTGCCCGAAGCTTCAGGAGTAGGTCTCAATGGATTAAGCCAATGAGCAATTCCCGTGGCACATGATAGGATCATGGGGGGAATTAGGTGAGATATAAGACTTTTGCTGAGGATTTTGAAAAGAAAGATTGTTTTCTTTCCTGTGGAGGTTACCAAAGAAGGATGAAAGACGACCTCACCCCCATTCTGGATGATGAAGAAACCTGTATCTCTGGTTATTGTTGTCAGCCAATCTTGACAACATGCAGATCATTGACCGAAGGCTAAGGACAAGCTGACAGTATGAAAAGTAGAATGGAGGGAGACCAGGTCTTGGTGACTTCATCAGCTGGACCAACTCTAAACTTTTGAGCTGGGCAGAGTGGCACATACTTGTAATCCCAGCACTCAGGAGGCTGAGGCAGGAAGATGGCTGTGAGTTTGAGGCCAGCATGAACTATATAGTGAGACTCTGACTCAATAAAACAAAACAAAAAAATTATTTGAGCCAGTTCAGCATGGTGGCACATGACATCCCAGTATTCTGGGAGGCTGAGGCAGGAGGATTGAAAATTTGAGGCCAGCCTAGATAACAGAATGTCTTAGTGAAACCCTGTTTCAAAATAAAAAATGAAAACAAAGGACTAGAAATGTAGCTGTGTGTGAAAATGCTGGGTTTGTTTTCCAGTACT